CAGAGTCCCGGGATCGAGTCCCACGTCAGGCTCCCTGCTCAGCAGGGAGTCTGCTTCTCCCTCTGACCCTCCCCCCTCTCATGCTCTCTATCTCATTCTCTCTCTCAAATAAATAAATAAATAAATCTTTAAAAAAAAAGAAGATTAGTATCCAGTACATATAAAGCACTCCTACACTCAATAACTACAGCAAAAAACAAAGTGGATAAAAAGTGGGAGGATTATCCAAATGGACATTATCCAGAGAAGACATCCAGAGAGCCAACAGTGAAAAGATGCTCAACATCATGAATCATCAGGGAAATGCAAATCAAAACAACAATGGGATAGCACCTCACACTGGTTAGAAAACTTAGTATCAAAAAGATGAGAAATAACAAATGTTAGCAAGGATGTGGCCGAAAGGGAACCCCAGTGAGCTGTTGGTGGGAACGTAGGTAGGTGCATCCACTGTGGAAAAGAGTATGCAGGCTCCTCAAAACATTAAAACTAGAACGAGCCTACAATCCAGCAATTTTTCTCCTGGCCATTTAGCCAAAGAAAACAAAAACACCCATTTGAAAAGATATCTGAACCCCCATGTTCACTGCAGCATTATTCATAACAGCTAAGATAGGAGGACAACCTACATGTCCACGGAGGGATGAATCGATAAGGAAGATGTGGTGTATGTAGACGCTGCAATACTCTTTAGCCATAACAAAAAACGAAATCGTTCTTTTTACAGCAACATGGATGGACCCTGAGGGCACGATGCTAACTGAAGGAAGTCAGAGACAAATACTCTATGACAACACTTCTATATGGAATCTAAAATTACCAAAAAACTGAGCTTAAAGATACAGCAGTCAGATTGGTGGTTGACAGGCAGGGGGATGGGTGTGAAATGGGTGACAGGGGTCAAAGGTTCAAACTTACAGGTATAAAGTAAGTCAGTCACAGGATGTAACGTACAACATGGCGGCTATAGTTAATAACACTGTATTACAAGCTTCGACGTTGTAAAGAGAGTGATCTTACAAGTTATCCTAAGGAAAAGGTCTTGTAAAACACTCCAAGACAAAACTGTATTTAAACAGGTAAGCCGTACACCATTGTTCAGGGGAATCAGAAAGTGCAGGGACCTGCCCAAATCTGTGCGGGAAACTGCCCTCCTGTTCCTCACAGAGGCTAAAGGAGAGCTTTGTACACTGGTGAGTGCGTGCACAGAACAGCATGTAAAGTACCGGGCTCCTCTCTACCCAGAGCAGTGGGCACTGCATCCCGCTTACGGGTACAGGAAGATGCAGGGAGTTCCTGGGAGATACTGAAGAAGTTGAGGAAGAACAAGGCAGGGTGTATGGAAAGTGCCTTACCGGTTTTCCAAATCCCTGGGAATGTTCCATCGTGTACGTGTCTTTTGAGATGCTACCAAAGGTCGCCGCTGCTGTCTACTCAGGCTCTTGCGGCTGGGCAGCCAACTTCTTTAACTCACTGGCAACCTCTGAGTCATCACTGTCTCTTGACCGTCATTCTAGGGGGAGAGGAGCACATAAAATGGGTCTCATTTCTCTCAGTTGGGATGGTCTGTCAGCTCTTGATCTGAATCACTAACCACCGCCGTTACATCTGTGCCCATAAAGCACTGCCAGTGAATAAAGACTACGACGGTAACAGAAATAGAGAATACTTATCCCTCTGTATTCCTCGGTGTTAGGACCTATCCTAAGCTGTAAGGTGCAGAGTCAAGCAGAGAGGCATGAGGGTTTTGGATACGCCCCAATCCTGGAGAGGTTGGAAGCACAGGTTTTGGAGCTGCAATGACAAGGGCTTGAAATCTGGTTCCAAGCATTATCTGCGTCTCTAAGACTCAGAGGCCTATCAGGATCCTAGCCCATGGAGATGTGCAAACTGATAAAGGGTGTAGAATGCTTAGCCAGCGCCAGGCACAAAGCAGCTCCTCAATTAACTCACGATGATAATCATGAGGATGGCAATCATGGTGTTCCTTCCCCGGTGCTAGCAATAACAATAACTAATACTTCTGTGATATTAATCCCAAAGACTCGTACTGCACTTATCTCGTGCCAGGAACCATGATTTACATTGACTTTGGAGATGGGTTCTGTGTACTACTTCACTAAATCCCCAAAACAAGCCTATATAGGTCCTCTTTGCAGGCCCATCTCTCAGATGAGAATTCTGAGGCCTGGCGATTACCTACCTTGCTCAAGGTCACACAGCTGGAACTGGAATAAAAGGAATGACAACCTGTACTCTGAACCAGTCTAGAGGAAACCCATTACCTACGTTAAATCTGCACCATAACCCTAAGGTTTTGCTGTTCTGCCCACTTTACAGATGGAGAGACTGAAGCTCAGGCCCAGGGCAGAGGCCGAACTCACCTGGCCTCCCCAATGGGAGGAAGCAGGACTTGGCATGCCGCCTCAGGCTCGGCCTCTGGGTCCTGGGTGGCCCCCTGTGTGCCTTGCAGATACCAGGCTGAGGGGCACCTCTTCCTCAGAACCGCAGCATGCTAGGGTTCCAAGGACGCCGCTGCCCCCGGCTCCCTCTGCTCCCAGCCATACCGCCACTGCCCCCAGCTACCGCCACTACCCCCAGCTACCGCCACTGACACCCACTGCCCATCGCAGACGTTGCTGCTGACCGCTGACGCGGCTGGCCGATGCTGCCGCCCTCTGCCGCCTGCTGCTTGCTGGCGCTGGCTGCCCAGCGCTGACCCTGCCCGTACCACCACCGGGCCACTGACCCGCCAGCTGTTGCCAGTTACCGCTGCCTACCGCCCCAGCCACCTGCCGGCCACCGCTTCCTGCCGCTGCAGCCTGCCACCCTTGCGTGCATCCCCTTGCCTCCGCCTGCCTGCCCGCACCCCCTGCTGCCGTTTACCACTGTCTACCGCCGCCACCTGCAGCCCGCCACCTGCTACCTCCTCTGCTGCCACCAGCCTCCGCTGCCTAAACTCGACGGTGCCTGCCAACGCTGCCAACCTACTGCCGCCAACTGTTGCCGTTGCCCCCTGCAGCCCGCTTGCCTCCGCTGCCTGCGGCTACTGCCGCCTGCTGCACACACTGCCTGCCCCCACTGTGGCCCGCCTCCCCCTGCCACCTGCCCCCACCTGCCGCCACTTTCTGCCACCGCTTATGGCTGGCTGCGATTATCAGCCGCCGCTTCCTGCCTGGGCCCTGCGGCCTGCAGCCCGCCACGGCCTGCTGCTGCTTACGTACCACCGCCGCCTACCCCCGCCTGCTGTCACTTACCACTACCCGCCACGGCAGCCCACCGCCACCACATGCCTACCGCTGCCGCCTACCTAACGCTGCTGCCTGGCCCTGCCGCCTGCCGCCGCTTCCTCCCGCCGCTTACCACTGCCTGCCCCCGTCTGCCACCTCTTGCCGCCGCCGCCCCCTGCCTGCCCCTAGCCGGGGCCTGCCAGCCGCCACCACCTGCCCCCACCACCTGCCCGCCGCCGCTTCCTGCCAGCACTGCCTGTTGCCACCTGCGGCTACTGCGTACCCCCAGTGCAACAGCCTGCCTGCAACTGTCTGCCACCTGCCTGCCGCAGCCTGCCTGCCCCCGCCCCCTGCCGCCGCCGCCGCCTGCTACCTCTTGCCGCGGCGGCCCCCTGCCTGCCTCTGGCCGTGGCCTGCAAGCCGCCGCCACCTGCCCCCACCACCTGCCCGCCGCCGCTTCCTGCCGCCACTGCCTGTTGCCACCTGCGGCTACTGCGTACTCCCAGTGCTGCAGCCTGCCTACAACTGTCTGTCACCTGCCTGCCGCAGCCTGCCTGCCCCCGCCCCCTGCCGACGCCGCCGCCTGCTACCTCCTTCCACCGCCCGCCGCCCTTGCCTGCCTGCCGCTGCCTAAAATCGCCTACCGCCGGCGCCTGTCTGCCAACCCTGCCTGTCGCCGCCCACCACCCTTGCCTGCCGCCCCCTGCCTCCACTGCCTCCACCGCCTCCCGCTGCCACATACTGACCCCACTAACCTGGCACCTACCGCTGCCGCCGCCCGCTGCTGTTACTCCTGCTGCTGCCTCTGCTGCCCGGAGCTTCCGCTGCTGCACAAAGCTGAAGCCGACTGACGTCAGCATTACTGCTGCCGCCGCTGCCGCCGCTGCCGCCGCTGCCGCCGCTGCCGCCGCTGCCGCCGCTGCCGCCGCTGCCGCCGCTGCCGCCGCTGCCGCCGCTGCCGCCGCTGCCGCCGCTGCCGCCGCCGCGTAACCCGCAGATGCCCGCCGGCGCTTCCGGCGCCCTTCCCTACGCTGACTCACGCTGCCGCCGCTGACCCGCCTGCTGCTGACCCCGCCCCTATCGCGTTGCCTGCTTCCCCCGCCGGTGACTCCGGCTGAAGCCAATGGCACCTGCTGCTGAGGCTGCCACACACCGCCGCCCAATGACCCGGGGCTGCCCAAAGCTAGCGCCCCTGCAGCCCTTGCCGCCCTTGCAGCCGATGCAGCCGCAGACTCCACCCGCTGGTGCTGCCACCGCTGCCACATCTGCTGCTGCCCGCTGCCGCCTGCCACCGACTGCCACCGCCTGCCTGCCGCTGCCTGCAGCCACTGTCCACCACTGCCTCCACCGCCTCCCGCTGCCACATACTGGCCCCACTAACCAGGCACCTACCGCTGCCGCCGCCCGCTGCTGATACTCCTGCTGCTGCCTCTGCTGCCCGGAGCTTCCGCTGCTGCCCAACGCTGAAGGCGACTGACGCCAGCACTACTGCTGACGCCGCCGACGCCGCCGACGCCGCCGACGCCGCCGACGCCGCCGACGCCGCCGACGCCGCCGACGCCGCCGACGCCGCCGACGCCGCCGACGCTGCCGCGTAACCAGACTATGCCCGCCGGCGCTTCCGGCGCCCCTCCCCACGCTGACTCACGCTGCCGCCGCTGACCCACCTGCTGCTCACCCCGCCCCTATCGCGGCGCCTGCTTCCCCCGCCGGTGACTCCGGCTGAAGTCAATGGCACCTGCTGCTGAGGCTGCCACACACTGCCGCCCAATGACTCGGGGCTGCCCAAAGCTGGCGCCCCTGCAGCCCTTGCCGCCCCTGCAGCCGCTGCAGCCGCAGACGCCACCCGCTGGTGCTGTCACTGCTGCCACCTCTCCTGCTGCCCGCTGCCGCCTGCCACCGACTGCCACCCCCTGCCTGCCGCTGCCTGCCGCCACTGGCCACCAGTGCTGCCACCGCCGCCTGCCACCGCCTACCTGCTGCCGCCACCAGTCAGTACTACCACTGCCGTCTGCCACTGCCGCCCCCTGCTGCCACTTACCTCTGCCTGCCGCCGCCACCTGCCTTCTGCCACGCACCGCCCTTGCGTGCCTGCCGCGGCCGCCTGCCTGCTTGCCGTTGCTTACCACAGCCTGCCACCGCTTCCTGCCGCCGCCTGCAATCGCCTACCGCCGCCGCCCTCCACACTTGCCTGCCGCTCCCTGCCTCCCTGCCCCCACCGCTTACTGCCGCCCCCTGCCTCCACCGCCTCCCGCTGCCACATACGGGCCCCACTAACCCGGCACTTACCGCTGCCGCCGCCCGCTGCTTATACTCCTGCTTCTGCCTCTGCTGCCCGGAGCTTCCGCTGCTGCCCAACGCTGAAGGCGACTGACGACAGCACTACTGCTGATGCCGCCGACGCCGCTGAGGCCGCCGCGTAACCCAACTATGCCCGCCGGCACCTCCGGCGCCCCTCCCCACGCTGACTCACGCTGCCGCCGCTGACCCGCCTGCTGCTGACCCCGCCCCTATCGCGGCGCCTGCTTCCCCCGCCGGTGACTCCGGCTGAAGCCAATGGCACCTGCTGCTGAGGCTGCCACACACTGCCGCTCAATGACCCGGGGCTGCCCAAAGCTGGCGCCCCTGCAGCCCTTGCCGCCCCTGCAGCCGCTGCAGCCGCAGACTCCACCCGCTGGTGCTGTCACCGCTGCCACCTCTCCTGCTGCGCGCTGCCGCCTGCCACCGACTGCCACCGCCTGCCTGCCACTGCCTGCCGCCACTGCCCACCAATGCTGCCACCGCCGCCTGCCACCACCTGCCTGCTGCCGCCACCAGTCAGTACTACCACTGCCGTCTGCCACTGCCGCCCCCTGCTGCCGCTTACCTCTGCCTGCCGCCGCCACCTGCCTTCTGCCAACCACCGCTCTTGCGTGCGCCCGCCGCCTGCTGCCCGCCGGCATCCGTGGCCGCCTACCTGCCTCCGCATCCTGCCGCCGCCTGCCACCGCCGTCTGCTGCCGCAGCCTGGCTCCACCGGGCCCAGCTACCTAACCCTGAGGATGCATGCCAACGCTGCCTGCCTACCCCCAACACTGCCGGCACCGCCTGCCTACCGCTGCCACCTGCCAATCGCCACAGCTGCCGTCTGCCTAATGCTGCTGTCTGCCGCCTGCCTGCCCCCGCCGACTGCCTGCTGCCGCCCCCTGCTATATCCTGGCACCACCCGCGGCCCTTGCCTGCCGTGGCCTGCCTGCCAGCCGCTGCTTACTGCAGCCTGCACCTGCTACCTCCTACCTGCCGCCTGCGCCTGCCTACCGCTGGCACCTGGAACCGGCTGCCCACACTGCCGGCCGCCACTGCAGCCTCCCTCCTCCTGCCACCTTCCCCCGCCGCCTGCCTCCGCTGTCTTCCGCCGCTTCCTGCCACCGCCGCCTGACACCACTGTGGCCGCTTCCTGTTGCCGCCTGCCTGCCGTTTGCCGGCTCTTGCCTGCCTGCGGCCCCAGCTGCCTGCGCCCCACCGCTTCCTGCCGCCCCTGCCTCCACCGCCTCCCGCTGCCACATACCGACGCCCACTATCCCGGCACCTACCGCTGCCGCCACCTGCTGCTCATACGGCTGCTGCCTCTGCTGCCGGGAGCTTCCGCTGCTGCCGAACGCTGACTCCGACTGACGGCCAGCACTACTGCTGCCGCCGCTGACACCACTGATGCCACCGTGTTCCCCGCAGGTGCCCGCCGGCGCTTCCAACACCCCTCCCCACGCTGACCCACGCCGGAGCCTCCTAGCCTCGCACAGGCACCATGCTCCTCAACATGGGCACGCTGCTCAGCCCTTGAGAGCGCCACGCCAGGCCTCCCAGAAGGCGGGGGCACCCGGAGCTTACCGGCCTCGCCGACGAACACCTCCACGGGCGCGCTACTGGGCTCTCGCCGATGATGTTGTAGGCCGTCAGGATGACATCGTAGCACCGGTGTTTCTCGGAGCTACAGGTGGAAAGAGACAGGGGTCAGCTGGCCTGGGAACACCTCGCTCTTCCCACTCCTTGAACATTTAGCTTTGTTGGGCCCTTGTAAATCTTACGTTCCCTTGTGTCCTCGGTGAAATCCCTTTTCCCTGACAACCTATCTCAAATGGCTCCTCCTCCGTGAAGCCCCCCCTGATCGCCACACTGGGTGCAAGTCCCCAAAGCCCAGGAGCTCTCCATGGGCCAGCCCTCTCCGTGCACACCTGGGCTGCCACAGAGACCTGTCCACCCCAGTGGCTGTGCCCCCTGGAGGTGAGCCCCATCTCCTCTGGCCCTCCAGGATATCTCCCACCCAGGTTTGTGGCAGCCTCACTGGGGGCGGGGCGTGCAGTGAGTGCTCTGCATGCCAGATCACCCCTATTCTGCCCTGACTCAGACCTAAGCTGGAAGCCCCGTGGTCCCTCCAATGTCAGGTGGCAATGAAGGGCAGGCCTAGGGTAGGGCAGGTGCTCATTTGACATTTTGACACCCTGTGGAACATGAATGGTGGTAGCCAGGCCCTGAATCTCAGAATTGAACCCACACCAGGATGCACACAGACATGCCCAGCTCACATTCTCCCTCCCGTCAATTTCTGTTGGTTAATTAGTCTGGGGAGGGCTGCAGCAGCCAGAGTGCAGGCCAGGGGGCCAGGGGCTCTGGGTCCCGGGTCTCCTCTGGAATACTCAGCAAATAAGGACAAGAACCGCTCAAGCTGTGACCAGACAGATGGACAAAGGGCACGCCCATGACCCCTGGCTGCAGCAGGGCGGTGAAGCTTGTCCAGAGATGGATGCACGCTGAATTCTCAGTGATGCCTACACAGCCGCTGTCTATAGGATGCCACCAGCATCTTAGGAAATGCTGTCCTGGTCTCAGAGTAGAGGCCACAGCTTTGTTGTACGAAAACTGCTCTGTTCTGGGTTGAACTGTGTCCTCCAAAAAGATACGTTGGTGTTCTAACCCCTGGTACCTGTGGATGCCAGCTTATATGGACACAGGGTTTTGCAGACCTTGCAGTTAAGAGCAAGTCACAGTGCAGTAGGAAGCACCCTAATCCAGGGACTGGTTTCTTTTTTGGACGGCAATTTGGTTTTATTTATCAAGGTTTTCAATGCACTTGCCTTTTAACCCAACAATTACACTTCTAGAAATCTACCTGACATAAATGCATGTATAGAGTCCTGGGTCCTACAAATACAAGCTAAACCTACCGATGCCCCCAAAACCCCAAAACAAAGCATCGAGGGGTCTTTTCAATGACACCTAAAGTCAAGAGGACTACCTTCAAGCTTGAAGGTCACTAACAGCAAAGCTGCTTGTAAATGTAACTGCAAACTCTGGACAGATGAACATGAGCAAGGTATTATAATAGCTAATTCACATGGGGAGCCCAAGTGTTCCACATGATCCGTTGCTGAACATGAAGAAAGCCATATTTTGAGAAGCAATTTAGGATCCAGCAATCATTTGACAAATAGTGAGGCAATAAGGCGATCCAAACATCCTTAGAAGAGGAGAGAAATTTGGACACACCACTGGGAGGGCATCCTGTGAGCACAGAAGCAGAGACTGGAGCCATGTTTGCAATGTTGTGACTTGTAAGAAGAATATCTATTTAGCCATTCAGATGAGAAAACTTGTTTCTCATATACACGTCTTTGTCCAGAGTGACAAAGGTGTCTCTTGTCATGTTAATGAGGATGTGGGCTGGTCACCAGGACAACCAACGTTGTGATCAGAGGGTTGGAACTTTTGGTCCCGCCCATGAATTCTGAGGACGGGAGAGGGGCTGGAGGTTCAATCAATGGCCAATGGCCAATGCTTTCATCAGTCTAGCCTATGGAATGAAGCCTCCATAAAAACTCTAGAGGACAGGTTCGGCCTGATGTGTGCAAGTAGAGAGAGCAATGGGCTGCAATGCCTGGAAGGTGGCCAGAAGGTGGCAAGAGCTCAGTGCACGCCCGCCTCTTTTGCCTTCTATCTTTGGTAGGTGTCAGATCAGCCCTTTGGATTGTTTTTCAAGCACTCTGGGTTCAACCCCTGCCTCACTTAAACCATCTGCTCTAGATCTTGTCCTAGAGTGATCACACGCGGGGACACCGGCTCACACTCTGAGCAAGGCCATGGCACCACGTGGACGGTGCTGGCCCTTGGGTGCTTCCCGAGAGGCCACCAGGTGGGCACCAGGGCACAGAGAGGGGAAGGGCCTTGCCTAAGGTCACACAGCTCCAGAGCCTGGCGCTAGGCACTCCCAGATGGGAGGTAGGACAGGCCATCTCTCCGAGCGCACCCGTTGGCTCTGCGTGCAAGTGCCTTCCTGTCGTCCTCTTCCCTCAGACCTCTGGGTCTGGCCCTGACCTCCACACCTGGAATTGGGGTGGCCTTGGTTAGGGAGCCTGCTGAGGCAGATTCCACAGCGAGGCTGAAGGGCATGTCAGGGGCTTGCCGAGATGGGAACTCACAGAAGATTGGTGTGGGAAATGGGGGTCGGGGGGGGGGTCTATGAAGGGTGTTCACATCACTGCCCCACAGCAGGAAATGACTGAATCTGTCTGGGCCCCCACTTCTTCTGTAGAATTGGGGCTCACAGAGCTTTGTTCCCCAGGCTTTGGTGAGGAGAAACCAAGGCAAAGTACAATAAGCATCTCGCCAGTGTTTGAAACAGAAGCGGCGTCCATGAAGACAGATCTCCCTACGATTGCTCCACAGGAAACTTTAATGAGCACCTGCTCAGCTGGGCACATGGTTTTGAACATCAGAGACCAAGTGCCTGGCTTCAGGGAGCTGCCCTCCAACACAGTGACTCAGAGCCACCCTGGGCCAGTTACACAACCTTTCTGAGCCGAGTCTCTAGCATTTAACCGGGGACATTCCTGCCTGGCTGATAAATGTCAGGCTGTGTAGACACGCGACGGTACAGGGCCTGACCTGGACGTCGTGGACCATGCAAGTTCCCGGCTCCGTTTCCTGCCCAGCTCTCCTCCCTGTAGCACCACGACAGTGGACTTGGGCCTCGGGTCTTACCTCTCTTCTCAGTGGTGACGACGGGGGCCTACAGCAGCTTGCCCAGCCCTGCCTCATCTTGGCCGGCAGCCTGAAGATGTATGCCGACTCCAGGGCCAGCTTGGTGCCCATGAACTGCCTCACCATGGCACCCACCTCCACAGTGGTGAACGTGCTGGGGCTACTGCCGGCCAGGCGGTGGCGATCTGGTACCCCGCGGGGTGGACAGGAGGGCCATGCGTCAGTGACATCACCCTCAAATGGCACAGGAAACCTTCCTCTAGCCCCTCAAACGGCACGGAGTGCCTTCCCCTCTCTGTTCTGCTCACCACATACTTGTTGACAGGCCACACGCCTTGATGGGAACCTGGGCCCCTGGACGCCGGGACTGCATCTATCTTGGCCTCCCCCCAAAGCCCTTGCCTTGCCCAGGGCAGGCACTCAGGGAAGATGACATGAATGGAGTGGCAGGGTTTCAGGGCCCCAAAAACATTGGTGAAGGATTCTCTTCTCTCAGGAGGGCCTGATTTTCAGATTTCACAATAATGACTTGGCCATTTTCGAACACGGACAGGGATCAAATGATCATTCTGTAATCCCCCCAGCAATGCAAAGCAGCTTGCAGGGGTGTATCCCTACACTGGCTTCAGGCCCCTGCTGGTGAGATGATCTTGTTCCAGGTCTCACAATTTCACCCCAGGGCACACGATCTACCCACAGCTCACAGCCAGATGCTATGGGTGGGACTGGGCTACCGTGCAAAGAGAGATGTTCTGTCTCGTTCTATGACCTCCCCTAGCACAAAGTAAATCCCAACCAGAAAATCACCATGTGAAGCACCGAGACCTGCGTACCCCTTCATTTTTTAACACCAAGAGTAAGTACCAACTTAGGAAATTACCAGAGGTTCCTGAACACAGGATTCTCACTAGAATTTTGCAAATGTAACAGGTTTCAGGCCATGCCATTTGTTCCATTTGGTGTTTTTTTGACGGGCACCACCTGGGCCACGATGTGGGGCATTGACGGGTCCCCTGTGACAGGCGCCACGAACACAAGTGAGAAGTGGGAGGGAACGATGGCTATTGCAGAGCAGGGGCATCCATGGGGCACAGCCTGGGGTCCCCCTCGGTCAGCAATCACACGGCCCTCCTGCTCCCCTTCCCCAAGCCACTCACCTTGCTCTCGCTGAGAACAGTCACACCAAGGCTATTCAAAACCATGATTTCTAGTTGGCTAACATATCACAATGGACACCACCAAAACAAAGGCTCAAAGGAACTATTGTGAAGAGTACACAGCAACAATTTGGACAACCTCAAAGAATCAGAGCTTTATTTATTCATATTTATGTTATAAGTTTTTATTTCAATTCTAGTTCCTTGCGGCACCTGATGGCTCAGTCGCTTGAGCATCCAACTCTTGGTTCCGGCTCATGCTATGATCTCAGGGGCATGTGACTGAGCCGCAGGCCAGGCTCCAAACTCAGCATGGAGTCTTCTTGAGACTCTCTCTCTCCTCCTCTCCCTCTACCCCTCCTGCTGTCCATGGTCCCTCTCTCTCTCATAAAAATAAAATCTTAGGGGCGCCTAGGTGGCTCAGTCATTAAGCGTCTGCCTTCGGCTCAGGTCATCATCCAGAGTCCTCGGAT